CTTTGTGATCTGGCCTGTTTCTCCATGTTCCAGCAGGAACCAAGCAAGGAACACTTCCTGGTGGATAGTGCTTTTCCTTATGTGGAGGCTGCATATCCACCAGGAACATCTCTGTCCTATGGGGACTGCTACTGCCTCATACCTATTTGGTAGGATCCCCACCCACACAGCTCCACAGGTTGGACTGTCTGCTTCAGAAACTTTGTGATCTGGCCTGTTTCTCCATGTTCCAGCAGGAACCAAGCAAGGAACACTTCCTGGTGGATAGTGCTTTTCCTTATGTGGAGGCTGCATATCCACCAGGAACATCTCTGTCCTATGGGGACTGCTACTGCCTCATACCTATTTGGTAGGATCCCCACCCACACAGCTCCACAGGTTGGACTGTCTGCTTCAGAAACCTGACCATCTTTCCCCAGTTACACTGTTTCTCCTGCAGGACCAGTGCTCCAAGGCATTCAGTAGGTGAGTGTAAGGCCAGCACTGAAATGAGTCCCCAATGATAGGGAGTCAGGGTTCCCCAGCATTCATCCTCCTTTCTCCTGTGTCATTACAGCAGGTTAGACTCTCCTACACTAATGCAGCAGGAGATCCCAGTCCATGGCTTTGGGATGCAGTGGGACTCTAGGCGGATGTCTACACTCCCACTTGGTTGACAAAATTTTTGTTTGTGGGTGCTTAAAAAAATCCTAAGAAAGTTTTGCTATGGCAAGTGAAAGTGTGAATGCTGCTCTCCTTTCTCCTGTGTCATTACAGCAGGTTAGACTCTCCTACACTAATGCAGCAGGAGATCCCAGTCCATGGCTTTGGGATGCAGTGGGACTCTAGGCGGATGTCTACACTCCCACTTGGTTGACAAAATTTTTGTTTGTGGGTGCTTAAAAAAATCCTAAGAAAGTTTTGCTATGGCAAGTGAAAGTGTGAATGCTGCTTTGCTTATTGTAGACGTACCCTAAGGCTTTGTCCACACTGAATAGTCCCAAGCGCGGCTGTGGCACTGCTTTACACTGAAAAGTATTGCCATGGTGCAACTTCTGGACCACCCCTGGAAGAGGAGTAGCTGACAGCCCTGGGGACAGGGATATGGCTCCCAGTGCGGTAGCCTGGTTCACTCTGGTGTTTTACAGCACTTTGATTTGCTGTGCCCTGGGTTTTTTCCCCTCATCCCTGAGCCAGAAAATTACAGCGCTGTAAAGTGCCAGTGTAGACTTGGCCTAGGAAATCACTCTGGCAAGGCCTGGCTGTCTTCCCTTTCAGCAGCCCATGGGAAAAGGTAGATGTGACACTTCTCTTGGGTGCATCATTATTTTACCAGTACTGTCCTATTTCAATAGCCTTTCTTCCTGAGAACGGCTGGCCTTTCTCACCTCAGTGCTGTTTTATTCCTCAGAAAGGCTGTTTCCCCCTCCAACGGCAAAAGAAACAAGACACTTTCAAATGAAGTTTCCATGCATTTGCCTTTCTGGCTGTTGGGAGGCAATTTAGGTTCCTATAGGCCTGGGGGATGTTCCAAGGTGGAACTCTACTGCTGCATCTAGATCCCTGTGGGGTCAGACTTACCAGACAGCTGGGCTACGTCTAGACTGACATGATTTTCTAAAATGCTTTTAACGGAAAAGTTTTTCCGTTAAAAGCATTTGCGGAAAAGAGCGTCTAGATTGGCACGGACGCTTTTGCGCAAAAGCACATTTTGTGGAAAAGCGTCCGTGCCAATCTAGACGCGGTTTTGCGCAAGAAAGCCCTGATCGCCATTTTCGCCATTGGGGCTTTTTTGTGCAAAACAATACCGCGTTGTCTACACTGGCAAAAGCATTTGCGCAAGAGGGCTTTTGCCCGAACGGGAGCAGCATAGTATTTCCGCAAGAACACTGACAATCTTACATGAGATCATCAGTGTTCCTGCGGAAATTCAAGCGGCCAGTGTAGACAGCTGGCAAGTTTTTCTGCAAAAGTAGCTGCTTTTGCGGAAAAACTTGCCAATTTAGACGCAGCCCTGGAGTTTGAATTGATTAACTAGAGCCTGAGCTGCAAGAGACTACACAAACTTCTTTGACTGCACTTGCAATTGATGGACAAAACTCTTGTCCTCTCCCCAAGGACAAAAGTTTTGCCTCAGCAAGTGTGAATGCTGCTTTGTGGGCAGGAGCCCTCTGATTGTGAAGGCTTAGAATTATTTTGCTGGCAAAAGTGTCAACAAACAGCGTTTACACATGCCGACTTTTAGTGACAGGACTGTGTTGACACTAAAAGCTGTGCAGTGTAGACACACCCTCAAGCTGGGAACATAGTGGCAGACTCCACCCTATGTCAGTGTAGGTCCAGGAACAGAGGGAAATCATTCAAAGGCAGCGGGTGATGGTTCAGCATGGCTTTCAGGGTTGCCTTGTTCCCCAGCTTCTAGAGAATGCTGTGAGCCACTGCAGGGGCACAGTGGATCACTGAGGTGCAGATTCACCATGATCTGTCTCTCCTCCAGTCTGCGTGTGCCCTACCTCGGCATGCCCCCTCTGCCTGGTTCTCATGTGGAGGCAGGGTAAGACTGGTACAGCAGCGTATGAGCCTTCTCTGCCTGGTTTATTCCTGGGGTGGAGAGAGGGATGCAATCTCAGGCTGGTCCTCTGGCCTTTTTGTGCCAGGCGGGCTAGTGCTAAAGGGCCCCAGGCAAGGATAAATTAAGTTTGTATTTCACCAAGCAGGAACTGAGACTAATCTCTCAGAGGTTTCTGCGGATAGGCCTTAGCCAGCAGCAGATGAGCTGTGCCAGCTCCTTCTGTCCCAAATAATTCCTGTGATTTCAAATGAAGCTGGACTGAAAGGTGCTGCAAGACTATTTGTTGTTTTTTAAGTTTTTCCAGTTACAGACTAACTCGGCTACCCCTCTGAAGCCACTGAAAGTTACTAATAATAATATTTCTGTTATTTTCCATTCCACCACTAGATGGCAGTATAGATGAGCTATACTGGCTCCCACAGGCACCTGTCTTACATAGAATCATAGAATACTAGGACTGGAAGGGACCTCGAGAGGTCATCGAGTCCAGTCCCCTGCCCCCATGGCAGGACCAAATACTGACTAGACCATCCCTGATAAACATTTATCCAACCTACTCTTAAATATCTCCACAGATGGAGATTCCACAAGTTCCATGGGCAATTTATTCCAGTATTTGACCACCCTGACAGTTAGGAACTTTTTCCTGATGTCCAACCTAAACCTCCCTTGCTGCAGTTCAAGCCCATTGCTTCTTGTTCTGTCCTCAGAGCCCAAGATGAACAAGTTTTCTCCCTCCTCCTTATGACACCCTTTTAGATACCTGAAAACGGCTATCATGTCCCCCCTCAGTCTTCTCTTTTCTAAACTAAACAAACCCAGTTCTTTCAGCCTTCCCTCATAGGTCATGTTCTCTAGACCTTTAATCATTCTTGTTGCTCTTCTCTGGACCCTCTCCAATTTTTCCAAGGCTATGACCCTTATAATGAATAATTTTTGAGAGATTCAGGCTGAAATTTAAGGAATGAAGAAAAGGAAGGAAGGAAGAAAGGAAGGGGAAAGAAAATCAAGCAAAGCAGAACAGAGATGTCTAAGGCCACATCTATACTTACCAGTGGATCCATGCTCCAGAGGTTAATGTTCTGGCATTCAATTTAACTGATCTAGAGCAGACCCATAAATGTTGAGGACTGCTCCGGCTAGTGTCTGTATTTATAGCTGAAGTTGCATACCTAAAGCCGACCTTCCAGATCTAGTCAGGGCTGGCCTTACCATGACATGAACTGAGGCAGCTGCCTCAGGTGCCAGACTGTGGGGAGCACCACTAGGACCCAGGGTGTAGAAAATTGTGTCTGCTGCTGGTGCATATGTATTCTCTCTGTTCTAGATGCACAGAGATGGTGGAGTGGTGTCCTGGAGGAAGGAGGGCACAAGGACATTGAAGAGAGCCGGTCCCAGAACAGACCCCTGTGGAACCCCACTTGTTATACCTTTCCAGCAGGAT